GCACTGGAACAGGCTGCCCAGGGAGGTTGTGGAGTCTCCTTCTCTGGAGATATTCAAAGCCCGCCTGGATGAAGTCCTGTGTAGCATGCTCTAGGTGAGCCTGCTTTAGCAGGGGGGTTGGACTAGATGATCTCCTGAGGTCCCTTCCAACCCTTACGATTCTGTGATTCTAAAGGACAGAGTCAAATGACCAAACATTCAAGAACTGTGTGATGGAATCACAACAAGATAACACCTTTTTGCCCATAAAAGTCTATCTACCCAAAAAACATGCAAAATACATCATGTCTTCTAAATTGTAGTCCTAGGGCTAGGGCTAGACCCTGTATTTATGATGCATACTACTGAAATATATAGGGCCTCTTGGCTATCTTTAGGAAAGCATTCATAAGAACAAATTCAGATTGTACTGCTGAATTAACCCATAACTAATAGTGTAACAACACAGCACATTCATACACTAGACTATGTAGCATATGTATTTTTGTGAAGTGTTCAGAAATAGATGTCTTACTCCATACAAGTAGTAGCTGCACACCCCTGCTAAAATAAAGCATCTTCAAGTTCTTTAGAAGCAAAGGTAGTAAGTACATACAAGTTTAAATGTTTTAGTTAGGCATTTATCCTTTTAAAGTTATATTTTTACAAGGCAGCAGGCCAGATGGAGCCTGAAATGCCCCCTACTTTATAGAAAGTAAAGCTCGCTGTAAATTACACTACAAAAAAGTAAACACTACAGGCATTGAAACATACACACACCCACCCCTCAAAAACAAAACAAAACAAAAAAAAAAACACCAAACCCCAACACCCAAAAAACACCCCTCACAAACAAAAATTAAACCCTTTCACCTGACAGGTAGTGATCTGATGGCGACCCAGTCTTTCACACAGCTCCTGAGATAACCTTGCTCTTCTTAGTTTCTTAGCAGCCATGTGTCCTGATCTACAAGGCAAACAAAAAAATTTTTGAAAGATGCCTGGAATATGACTATGCAGACAATTACACTCACTCCTTGCTAAGGAACAGGCAAGTGTGTGCACATGTGTGCGCATGTGTGTGTGTATATATATATATATAAAATTTAATGTGATATAAACTTCCTATATAAGCCTATGTCACATTAAATTATACTACCACTCTGAAAGCAGTTATGTCAAATTATATTTCCTCATATTTGACCATGTAGGAGATCATGTCAGTAAGAACAGAAGAGTCAACAATGTTTATAGGACAGATGTTTCTGGGACATAAGAAAGCTGGAAATTACTCAGTGGCAAACTGAACAAGAACTCCTCATGCTATACTGCACTGGGAAGAAATAAGGCTATCTTTGGATGCCTAAACACAAATAGTAGAGTAATCGCAGTAATAGCCCTAGAACACAACACTGTTCTGGTGATCCAAGATTTGTGACAGATGTTGAAAGGAAGGACCCAGAAAGGAGACACCAGAAAAACTGAAGGGCTGGAAACATACTTTAGGATGCAAGATCCAAGATAGTCAAACTAGTCAAACCCATCTCACAACATTCTGTGTAACAATTTATGAAACACACGCAGCTAGTAAGGAGTTATTTATTTTAGCCAACAGTGTAAAAGAAACCAGCAGCCAAAGCTAAGCATATGAAGATGAAAACTACAATGTAAGTATTATTTATTCTGAAAGTGAACAAAATACCGTGTGGCCACAATTGTGGTGTTCAGACACTTAACAAATTGTATTTATTGAGATTCCTGCTTAAAGAGTACCTGATTATTTCAGATAAGCCATAAGACTATTTTACATAGCAGATGAGATTACACTGCCACTACAAATCTTCCTGCCCTTAGCCCTCAGCTGTTTGCATTTGTTTGTTTTTTGGGGGTTTTTTTTTTGGTCATCCCATTCTACTTAACAAAACTCCACAGGATGGTATTTACCTCAGTACAACCTAAAGCACGCGTGTTTTCCTAGCCTATACGCATGTTCGAGCTCATAGCCGTTTCACACATATTATTTCAGAAATATTCCTAGCACTTGTTCAGCCACAAGTTTAGGCAAAATTAAAAGGTTTTTAAGTAATGCAAAATTGCTACAACTTCTGCAGATGCACAGGCCTCCGCATCTCCACAAGAAGGAAACGTAACGGCTCCCTCCACAACCGCCCGTTCAGCCAGGAGGGAACTCGAAGGCCGGCAGGGGTCGGGGTCCCCCCCCCCCCGGCGGGCG